CACCTTCTCCCTCCCTTGGATTCATTCCCCTTTGTCTAATCCAAAGAACTTCTAATCTTCCCCTCCCTTGTTGTGGGTTAGTATCCACATATTAGAGAGAACATTCTGCCTTTGGTGTTTTGGGATTGGCTTATTTCACTTAGCATGATATTCTAAATTTTTTTAAAAAGTACTAGCCCTGCCTTAAGGAAAATTAAAATACAAGTTATCACAAGCACATGTATTCAAAATTCCATACTCTAAGAAATTTCTTCCTATTGAGTTTACCATAGGGCTCTTCTGACTCTATGCTTGGCCCACTACAGTGTCTCACAGAAYATAATTTCTGTTTCTTTGCATGTTAACAATGATTTTAATAAGTGATGATAAAGCATTGAAGATCCTGTCATACTGTATAGGGTCTTCACAAAACAGAACAGTATTCAACATAGTTTGGGGGTTAACTATTTTCTGATTGCTTAGAAGTTGGGAGACTTTAGGGGCTGGGGTTGTGGCTCAGTGGTAGAGTGCTTGCCTAGCACATATGAGGCCCTATCCTCAGCACCATATAAATAAATAAATAAAATAAAGGTATTGTATCCATCTACAACTAAAAAGAAATAAAAAAAAGAAATTGGCAGACTTTATAGAGGGAAATTCTTGATTGGTTCAAGCATTCAGTTCTCTTATTGTGCTAAATAATAGGGGGTTTTGTGTATTCTTATACATATTTACAATAATATTTTTCAGATGGAAGAGTTTAATAGTTTTCAGACTTTCTAGGTTTTTATACTATCAAATTACTCATTTAAAATATCTCATTACAAAAAAAATTTAAAACAAAAAAATTAAAAATAATGGTAGAATGGATAAATAAATCATGTTATATTCACAATGAGTTGGTAAAATGAAAGTGAGAAAAGTACAACCACCCAACAGCACAGGCGTCTCTCCAAACATCAGGGCAGGTAGTGAAAGACAGACACAAAGGAGTACACACCACACAAGTCAATTGGCATAAAAGTCAGAAACAGGCAAAGGTAACCTGTGTTTCTAGAAGACAGGGTGGAGTTTTTTCTTCGCAGGGTTTCAACTGGAGAGGGGCGTGCTCGGAGGGCTGACTATGTGGCATTGTGAAATAGCATCAGGCTGGATGCTTCAGTGTGTGCATAAAACTCAACACTTAAATTTATGCATAGGATAAAATCTCACTGCAAGATATTTTATATTTTTCAGTTTATTTTTGATTATATTTGGAGAGGCAGATTTTACATGATAGCTTCAAACCAACCACTGTACATTAACCAAATTTTACACAAGCCATTTGAAAAAAGATCTAAAAATGTGCTTAGTTATTGGTATTATATAACATGTATCAAGCACCAAGAGTGTGCTGAGAGCTGTACAGAACAAACATAGAAAAGACACAGTCCCTGCCTTCAAGGGTACCCATTCCTGTAGGGTCTTGCACAGAAAACTCCACCTCATATTTCACACTCTTTTGTTCATAAGGCATAAATAAGGAAGTTTGTTGCATTTCTCATTGTTACTTAATAAATATCTAATACCCTTTTCCCCAGGTATAGCATCGTATCTTTGCCTTTAAATACAAATTTCTGTAATACAATATACAGTATATATTGATTTGGTATTCACACGATTGACCACAATGTTCTTGCAGGTTGGTTATAATACGAAGCATGTTGAATTTCAACATTCACAAAGTTTCATACCACTTAACAGAATCTTTTACTGCTGGCAGAGGTTTTCTTGTTTAAAAACAAACAAATGAAGTGCCACTGTAAACAAATAACACACTGCCGTGATTCCAATAAGGGTATCAGAACTATGGCACAGATATTCCTAACAGTGATTTGTAGCACATCTATTAAATTAGCCTTGCAGATATCAATCACATAGCTGCATGCCCTAAAATACTAACAATTTATGATCAGCTAGTAATGGATGATGTAAGAATGATTGGCTATATTGTATTTGCCATTTAACAAAGGGGCTACTGGTATAAAATATCTGAAATCTGAGAGCTGGGTACTCTTTTTTTTTTTCTTCTCTGCAAGGCTATGTTCAAAACAAATTCAGATTAGAAGAAAGGATGAAATGTTTCTGAATTTAATCATTGTCTCAGRACATTTGATTTCAAAATAAATCCCTTCAATAATAACATCTGATTGTTTATTTTTTAAAATACAAGAAAATGCAGTGAATTTTAATCATGTAGTGATTTTGGACTCTGATACAAGAAATTATACTCTACGTAAAGTGCCAGAATGTGGTAGAAGATGACACCCAGTACTGAAGATAGGTCAGCCTACCTGTCATCTGGGGGGAGCTCATTGGAGCAGGAAATGAGGGGCACATATTAAAGGGATGGGTAGATGTTTCCCTCTCAGCCAGACTCTTTCTTGCTCCACTCAGCATATTAAGGGACTGGAAGAGCTGGGGTGAGTCTGGGGTCCTGGGGAAGAAGGCTGGAGCAAGCTTGGGGGCCAATGGAGAAAGGATCCAACTATGAACTTCACCTTCTACAGATCCCAAGACCTCAAGCACCAATGAGCTTCAAGACACAGCCAGGGCCCGCTACTTCCACAGTAGACTTGGTACCATCAGGCTGAGGATAACCCCACCCCTGATGAACCTTCAGTATCTGATTTCCTGGGTTAACACCAGGTCTGGATGTTTCATTATGTCATAACAATGTTGAGTTGAATTTAAATTTTATACTGGACTTCAGGCAAGACTGGCTATCTCCCCCAAAATGAAGAAAAAATATAGAAGGCTCCACAGGATCCTTCTACTTCCATGCTTGGGGTGGGGCACACAGTGGTGCCCTCCCTCAGTAGCTAGGCACATGACCCAGAGAGGGTCCATTAGTAATAGACTCACCCAACGGCAGTGGCAAAGTGGTATGGCCCAACCACCACGATCCTATCTTTCTAATGGAGGAGTCGGGATGGGATTTAACAAGATTTTTCTTATCCTGGGTGAGTACGTCTCCACTTTTCTGCAAATCACAGACCCAGAAGTTGGGAGGTACGATCTCTGAAGCTCTGGCAGCTTAATCTGTGATAGAGGGCAGAATGGTGGGACCAGAATGTGGTGCAGAATCTTACTGGTTAGAGGAGAGAAGGCAGGACAGCAACTCCCAAGGGTGTAATCTATGACCTCTTTGGGGTGAAAGAAATAATCTTATTTAAAGTGCCCAATTTAAAATGGAGCACCAAAAGACTAAAATTCTGACAATAGACAATAATATAGAGAGTTTTTTTTTCATTTTCAATTATAAACCCTCAATACTAAGGCTTAAGTTTCAGTCACCTAATTGAAAATCCATACATAAACATGACAATAGAAATAGATAACATGAAGACCTCTAAAAATAAAGGCTCACTACAGTTGAGAGCATCCATCCCTCATTTGCTAACATCATAAAATGCACTGACTTAATAGTGAACAGTAGAATTAAACACAGCAAGCTAAATATTATTGTAATTGTTTAGGATGAATGCTGGACTCCTATTGCTTTAAAAATTGAGATGCTTCCCAAGCCCCACTCACAGGAATTTATCATACCATCCAGAGCAAAAATTTCTTACTATCCAAAAATTATGTATATACCACCTCGAGAAGAAAAGAATTTAAGGTTGCTTGCTTGGCAAATTTTTGTTTTAACTCATAACAGGACATTAGAAGCAGATGTTGACAAGGATTCTTTCTGTCCAGTTATTGGCAAAGCACCATTCAGCAGGTGGAAACTTGAGATCAGACTCTAATGAAATCACAACAGCTTCTTATACACTGGAGAAAACCTTGCTCTCGAGTTACTTAACAGAGAAGACAATAAACAAAAGTTACATATTTAGATAGACATGTAGATAGATAAATGGTTAAATAGATACTTTTTTTTTTTGCACTGCTGACAAGTATTCAAAACTCTGGAGTAGGTGTTGGGGTAATTGAGAAGACCTCAGTGCCTTTATCATAGTATTGAACAAGCTTTCAAAATCTTTTTAAGCCATTGAAAATAGCTGATATGGATGGTGCATGGAAACCATGGTATAGAGTTAGAATGTCAAAGTGTCGCCATTTGTCTCTACTCCTCAAGGCACAAGGACAAGTTCCAAACTCTTCAAAGCAGAGTATATGGTATCACCAGGAGAGAGAAAGTCAAGGAGAAGAACCACACGCCAGAGCAAAAGTGGTAGATCCTTTGGGGTGGCCACAATTTTCAAATATCGACCTTACACCATGAGCAAGCAGCTCCCCACACCATGGGTTGAGGACAGGAAGATCTCCTGGCCTGAACACCTTGGCCATTATGCAGAAAGGGCACACTTGGTGCTGTGCTGGCTTGGCAGGCCAGCTCCTTCCTACTCTGGGCACAAGGAAGAAAGTCTAGAATGTTCCGACRAAGATCTGCAATGCTGCAGACATTCTGTCACGGTGATGATAGAAGGGCAAGAATGCAAAGTTGGTAGCCCTTGATAAAAGTCAGCAGGGAAGTAAGATCTTGTGTGGACATACACCCTGTACTTCACCAGCAATGGTCTCAGAGCATTATTACGGAAAAATAGAACCCATCCCCTTTTTCTTTTCACTTTGCTATCACCCTCAGCTTCCCCGGGGAGGCATGTATTAAATATCTTATGTATAACTTATTCCAGGCCAAAAAACATCATCAAAATGGAAAGAATCCAATTAATCTTCCTTTTTTTATTTTTGCTTAGAATATTCACTTTGTATTCACTGATAGTCCATTACATTCTTTTGGTAGGAAAAGATATTGCACTTCTAAAAATGCTTCAGAGTGTAAGTCAAAGCTAATAAGTAGGTAGATTTCTTTCTAGAGTATATACCCTCTGAAGACCTCCTCCGGCATTTGCAGAAAAGTCTCCATGATTTCACCTCTGTTTCAGCAAACGGTTGTCGCACTGCTGCAAGCTCTTCAAACATGGAAGAAGTCATCAGTAGTCCTAAGTTTCATGAATGCAGTGACCACAGGCTCATGATTTCATCGTGCAGATGGGCACAACAATGACAAGGATGACCGTGCACGCGGCAGCAGCGATCAGAGCCGCGATCTTGCAGACCTTGGCACGTCTGAATTCAGCTTCTTTCCGTTTTAGTAACGAATCGTAGCCTGGAGTATAAATATCTTCCATCCAATATTCTAAGTTGTTCGGGTTTAAAGATTCTTGTGTCTAAAAGTGAAGAGAAGATGTTAGAAATAGGATGAATCCTTGATGTCAGGTCAAAGACATTCTGACAGTTGTCACTCCTGAAAGCACTGAAGATGTTGTTGCAGCTGGCAACTAGGTGTGACTGTCAGACACTGCTCCCCTGGCCTTGTGCCTGCCACCAGGGACTCAGCCCGCACACCACAGAGGCACCAGCCCCTTTCTTACTGAAAATGCCATGTGGTTTTTGACACCGAGAAGCCCAAGGATCCTCTATCGACAAGCAAGCAAAATCGGGTCGGGACAGACAAAACTCTAAACTTCAAGGGCATATAACCAAGAGCAGGCTGTCCCCACTGCAAGGGGAAAAAGGAAAGTCACTGAAAAATATTCTCTACCAACAGGCTCTAGGAACAGACCTGCCTGAAGCAAGGCCGTCCTGTTACTCCAAGTCTTCCATTCCTAGAAGAGCTTCTACTGAAAATCAAAGGCACCTCCCAGATAAGCAGTTCAAAGAAAATGTCAAATATTTCAGTTCCAAACATTTGTCTGAGCGGGTCAGGCCACTGCTCAAAGTCAAGTTCTAGAGACCGTCCCCAACCCAGGCCTGTCTTGATGATGACCCTGGACTGGGTGCAGCTTCCCCCAAAGAGATACCCCCCACTGACATCTGTCTCCCAGTCTCCCCATGATTAATGAACTGTCTGCAGGAGAAATATCATATTTAACCTATATTGCTCATGAATCCTATTCCGTGTTGATGGTTATAATCTATTTCCGTGAAGAGAGGCAGTGTTCTCATTTTATGGCAAGCATTTAATAATGTGAGTGTCACATAAAAGCAACAACACATTGCAGTTCCAAGTGAGGTCACCTAAATCTCTGAAACACACATGAAATAACCATTTTAAAGATTTTTCTTGGATTGTTTAATGTTCATAAATACAGGCACATTGTAATTCTCACACACAGCCGATTGAAAAACAAACCTTTCAACACTTTAAAAAAAACTCAGTCGCACCATGTTGTTGATGGTATATTGATGATCCTAATGCGTGCTAGTAATCTTCTGCCTGCCCTCCTGATCTGTTCTTTGCTCTCTGGCTCCTTCTTCTGTGCCCCCAGGAGACTGTCCCATATTAACACATGATGGGGGCTCCCCTGCCCTCTAACTCCCATGTGGGTTAAGTCAGAGGCCACAGGAGGAGAAAAAGGTGGAGGTGGAGGCATTGATTCCCCAGCTCCCTCCCTCCTGGGCTACAGTTTGGCAGCAATTCAGCTCCTACCAGCTCCAGCTCCCAGAGATGTCGGTCTTAGGGATTTCAGAAATAGTTCCCTGCCCTTGGCCTTCAGACCCAACAGTGGTAACAGCTTCTCCCGGGTGCTGGTCCTTGGGTGCTTCACCGGACCTCACTGGCCTCTATCCCTGCTCACACCACTGTGGTGTCSTCTCCGGCCTCCCCTCGCCCCATGGAGCATGCCATCTGTTCTCTGTGGGGTGCTGGCAGCCGGCTGCCATGTGCTCCTCAGGCTCCTCACTCTTCTGTTGCTACCCATCTTCTAGCACAGGCCCTATAGACTGGCCTGCAAGCCAGATCCAACCCACCACCTGTCTTTATACAGCCCTCCAACTCAGAATGCATTTTCTATCTTGAAATGGTTGCCGAAAATCAGAAGAAGAATGTTTCACGGTAAGTGAAAATTATATGAAATGCATATCTCAACATCCAAAAATAAAGTTTAGTTAGCACACAGCCAGGTCCATTCATTGACAAATTGTAGCTGCTTTTGATCTGCAGTGGCAGAGGTGAGCAGTTGTGATAGCAACAGTAGGGCCCATGAAGCCCTAAGTATCTACTCTCTGGCCTCTGTGCTGGTACGTATTGTACCACATCACACAATGGAAAGAGAACGGGCTCCTTCCCCAGTGAGGCATAATGTTTAAACTCTGTGGTTGAATTTTTCAAGTTATCTGGATGGTAGAAGGCTGTGTTAGCCACTCAGGGTACCCATTATGAAAACCAGAAACTCTCAATGTGGGAAAAGTCCTTAAAATGTAGGTGCTCTGTCCAACCCTTTGCAAGAAATTCCTGTAACAGTGTCCCCTACTGGGATCCAGAAGCCTCTAAAGGCTGCTCTGCTCTGGCCATTAGAATGCATGTTCTTGGGCTTCGGCCAACCCCCTCCACATACACACATCTGCCCTCTGTGGACACTTGGGACAGGTCTGCTCTCCTTGGCAATAAAAGCCCTTCATTTGTTGAACAGAAATTCTAGAAGGAAGAGATGAACCCAAGATGGGCTGATTTTCCTGGAAGACTAGTCTGCCATGCTGTGAGGTGCTCATAAGGTTGGTGTGGTAGAGGCTGGACCCACAGCCATCCCTGCCTTGGCACCTTTAAGACAGGCTCAGGCCATTGCTGTTGAAACAACCTGCTCTTCTTCTAATCTTCCCAGGGCTGCTCTGAAAGGTAAACAGACTATACAGGACACATCAGATTGTGTGCCTTGTTTCCGGCTCAGATAGAAGGAAATTGGCTTCCTTTCATAGCTATCTATGCTTTATTATGGGCTAGCATCCTGCCTGTGAAATAAACTATTTTTAATTAGTTTTTTCAATAACTGCAAGCTGTAATGGCACTAAGTAGCAGAGAGGTAATACTGAGGGTCCCAGGGACGCAGGTGAGCGTCCTCAATTGTTAATTAGGCTGCCAAACACTGGAAGTAAAAACAGGTCCATTATGCCTTTGCCTACATCTGCAACTGGGCACCACTGGACAACAAGGGACCCAAAGAAGATTGTCCAGATGCTAAAGCTGACCTAGGACAGTACCTGCATCTCTGCAAAGCAATGAAAACAAATCAGGTGATGTCTTTGCCTCCACCAAGCTCCTGATGCTTGCTCTGCTTGGCTGCAAACACCCTTGCAAAGCACTGAACTCTTTCTTCAGCTTGTGTGACTGAACGCTCTACCCTTTGCATTACATAGTGTCACCTAAAGTACTGCAACCTGGACATCTATTTTTTATTTTTTTATATAATTTGTTTTTATACCTCTAAACATTGGCATTTTTGTTTGGGCTTGGTGGCCCACACCTGTAATTCCAGCAATTCGGAAGGCTGAGACAGGAGAAACACAGGTTCAAGGCCAGCCTCAGCAAGACCCTGTCTCACAACTTTAAAAATTTTAAAAAGGAAAAGGACTGGAGATGTATCTCAGTGGGAAAATAACCTTGGGTTCAAAAATAAAATAATTTAATTAATTAATTAACATTGGCACACTAAAATTGCATATAATTGGAAGGCCTGTATCTTCTCATTCCCTCTCCCTAAACTTAAAAAAAAAAAAAAAAAAGTTTCTTAGTCTCATGCAATCATCTGACTCTTTCAAGATCATCTCTCTGGCACTGGTGAAATGTGGATTTTTCTACTGGTTTAGCCATTCACACCTCTGGGTTCTTTCTAAGCAGTGGCTTACTGTTGTTGAATATCTATAGATCAAGGTATAGCACTCATGACAAAGCTGCATAGAGACCCACCTGCCAGGGAATCAACTCTTGTCTGACCTGCTTGTCAGCAGGAAGATGACAGGAAAGGTACTGTCCCAAAGGCATAGGTGACATGCAGTACACATGGGGTCATAACATGCATGAAGTAAGAAGGCTGAGAAGGTACTTGGGGGATTAACCTCACTTTCAGGATCTGACCAGAGCATCCCTCTCCCATAATTACATAATTTAGGGCCCCAGATACACAAATGTCATTGCAATCAATGTTTGTGACATGAAGATCCACTACACTCTTATCAACAGAAAAATGAAATGGCACCAAGGTAAAAGAAGAGAAAGAACGGGAGACTTATTGCTGATGGTCCAGTGTGCTTTAGACTCGTCTGACCTGGGGCAAGCTGCCAGGTGCCTCTATTTCCTCATTCTAAACTGGAGAGAGTCTTACCAACTCCTGCCTCCACTGTGCCTGGATGAGAGACTGCTGTGAGAAGCACCATGCGAAGCTGACCGGATCCCAGCCTCCTTTACCCTCCATGCTGAATCTCCCAACGCTCTCCTTTTCAGTGTCTACTTAACTCGGTGGACTTTAGCATATTATTTTCAGTTCTCACAGTGCCACCATAAGTTGGATATTATTATGCCCATGTCATAGATAGAAGCAGGTGAAAAGAACATTTCAGGTTACACGGTGAAGGCGCCCTGGCTTAGAACCCAGTGCTGCTGGAATACAAGTCTTCTCTGCACCATGCCGCCCCTCCTGCAGCCCTCTTTGATTTAGAACAAGGCCACTACAGGAGAGTCTTGCTATTTTGGCCTCTATAAGCAGCTCTTGCCAAGTGCATGGTCATTCTGGATATGACGCACCCTTGGTGCTATGGCCTCGCTGCTCACAAAGCTAAGCCCACAGGTAGGGACGGTGTTTTCTTTGCTTCATGGTGATGTAGAGACACAGATAGATGTGGCGTGAATGAAACTAAGGTGGAGCTGCTCACCAAAATGAAAAGTGTGGCCAAAACCCAGCCCTGCCTGTGGGTGAACAAAAAACATGCCCTCTGGCCACAATGGCATTCACAGAGCTTCTGGGGATGGCTCTTACCTGGGGCTGCTCCATATGGAAACATAATCCATAGCTTGGCTCCCATAAATATGCTTATCCCACGTGCTACATATGGAAGGAGAAATCAGCTTGTATTTCATTAAACAGTTTGGCTCAGGTCTTGTGAGTCAAGATTAGAATCTGCACTTGGTCTTAAACGCATCGTTAGCAAATCAGATGGCCAACAAATAAAAATAAAGCAAGCATCCCCACTGCTAAATGTTTAAAAACAACTACACAAAACAACAATCCCCCTTGTTAGAAAAAAAAAAAGAATCTCCTCTGCTCTCTGATTTATTAGAATTCAGAATTTCATAAGGGGGACCCAGGGAGTTGAAGGGTGAGGGAGTGGGCGGGTCTAAGTCATCCATGACCCATTCCTGCATCTGCCTGCACACTGCAGGGCTCCCCCCCGCCCGGGAGCAGGAAAAGCTCACCTGCAGGTCCAGGGCTGTCAGCTTGCCCTTGTCGCCTGTGTTCCGCGCATACTCCTCAATGGTCCAAGAAGGCTGGCCCCGCTTCACCTCGGCCAGCTCGGTCAGCCGCATGTCCGTGTACAGGGGGTTGCTCTTCATGTGGGCCTTGAGTGAGGTGGGGTAGGGGTGTGGGCTGAACACCTGCTCCACCAGGAAGCCATCTTTGGGCTGCTTGGGCAGTCGGTGCTGTGGGGGGATGTCATACTGCCTGTCAGCCTGCAGAGGGGCACAGAGAATTCCAGAAAAGCAGCACAGGGGCCATCAGATCTCAGGGTGCAGCTTCTTATCACATCCAGGTAGCAACGTGTAGTTACTTAGGAACAAATAGAAAACATACCTGTATTGGGGACATTTCCTAGTAAAAGCTTCTGATTCTAATAGTATGAATACAACCTAATTTTTCCATGCCAGGTTCTTCAATCTGATCCTAACACCATCACTGCCATATTAACACCCATTGCACAGATCCTCCCTTCTATGCWCACTACTTGTCTGAAAAGGAAAGGCCAGGAAGAAAGCACATGTCGACTGCCTCTCTAGCAATTATCCCTGGTAGCCGGTGGTCCCTTTCAGAGGCATCTGCAGGCATTCAGGATAAGAGGATAGTCAGGGCAACAGGGTGAAGGTGTGAAGGTGCCTAACACAGCTCACCATCATTTATGTTCTCAGTCCAAGAAACATATCCCTGGACTGTTCTCAGTGGACCTGTTATAATGGAGAACTTCTGATGCTCTCTATTTCTACCTTCAATCCACAAAGATGTCATTTCCTCCAGGCAGCACTTCCTGACCCACCAAGACTGTGATAGCACCCAGGCATGTGACCTCACAGGATGTGCATAGACCTCTCAACCATCATTTGTCACATTGAACAATAACTGCCTGTTTATCCATCTGTCTCCACTGGACTGTGAGTTCCTTGAAGGCAGGCAATTGTTCACCTTGTAATCCTGAATCCAGCAAAATAGACACTGAGTAGAAGACAGTCCATCACTATTTGTGGAAGGGAGAGAAACCAATGATATGGAGTTGAGTTAGCAAAGAGTGTTGTGCATATAATTAACAGAAAAAGACTGGAGTAGAGGAGTGTAGTAAGAAGTAAGAGAAAGGGAATCAGGTTAATTGTCATGAGGGTGACATATCAGGTGTGACATGTGACATGTGATGAACAAATGCATGTGAGTGCGTTGCCCACATGCAAGGGRACCGACTGCCCACCTATCCACAAATCCAGCCCATCGGCTCTTGCTCAAACACAGCTAGCAATTAGCTATTCCAACCCACCACGGCTGTTACACGGACATGAAGAGTGTGGGACAAACTCTGCTAAACCCAAACAAGGAAGTGGGGTTCCCTCTTGTTTTCTATTTCCTCAAAGCCAAGACTCAGAAGAGTCTTCACTGATTTGACCTATTCTTCTAATTTCCATGACTTGACATTCATAGAGCCTCTACCACATGCAGGGCCCACACCAAGCTGAGGACTGGTGAAAATGGCAATAATGACAACCACAACAGCCACTGCAATCGTGATCACAGTTAACCAAGGGCTATGTGCCCAGTGCTAAAGGTGCATTATCTCATTCCATCTTCTCATTAATATCCTGAGGTTGTAACTATAGTTATCCCCATCATGCATGTGCAATCTCAGGTCAGAGGGGTTAAGAGACTGACCCAATGCTGCACAACTAGTAAGTGGTAGAACCAGAATCTGTACCTGTTGGCACTCCTAAGACAGGATGTTTAACTGACCATGTCTGTTCCTACCACTGAGGAGTTTATGTTTTAACTTGGCAATCCGTATATATACACAATATGTATGTTTTAGCCTATTACATCTGAACAAAGACTAGAGATCAAAGGCCACAAATAATCTAGGGAAGCTTCCAGATACCTATGAATTAAGATGCCATGAAGAGTGTGCAGGACTTAGATCAGCACGGAGGAGGGGGTCAGATGTTTCTGATGGAGGAATCATTTGAAGAAAGTTTTAATGATAAAACAGGGCCTGGCCATTATAGATGTTCAATCAGTATTTGCTGAATGGGTGACTGGATGTGAGCATGGTGTTTTAAAGGAAAAATAGGTAGAATCATGGAGGTAGAATAGGCCTCAGGATGTAACAGAACCTTCCTGTGTGTGTATGTGTGGTACATAAAGTCCACAAAGCCTCAAAACCTAAGTTTGAGACTTTCTGCTGAAGGAAATGGGTACCAAGAAGCAGCTGGGAATAGCAGGCACCACGCAACCAGAGAGCAGAGTTTTGGAAAGTAAACACAGCAGTGGTCCATGATGTAGGACAGAAAGCAGAGAGTGGGCCCCCAAGCCCTAGGTGGGGGGTGCTAAGAGCCTGGGTTGTGTGTGGGGTAAATGGAAAGGAAAGAAGAAATGTAGGAAATACCACAAGAGAACAATGCACAGGGCCTAGCAGCTCTACTGGATGTGAGTGAGGCAAAGAGGGAAGTCCAAGGTGAGCAGGGCCATTTTAGCTTTGATGATTGCATGAAATGGTGACCCAATACCCCCAGGAGGGAATCAGCAAGAAAGAACACTGGCTTTCAAGGAACACAAAAGTCTGATTTGAGACCTGTAAGTTTTGATATGTGGGCAAGTCATATGGGGAACTGGCCTGCAGCAATTTGAGACCTGGGACCAAATTGAGAACCCAGGCCAGTTAGCACCATCCTCATCCCAGGGATGGTGAGAGCAGGTAGAAGAAAATAGGGTCACAGAGGCAACAAAATGAAGAAGGCTTTTGTGTGAGGCACATTTCAAATGGCTCTTCCTTGAGCTTGTGGCTATTCCTGTTGGTCAGGTGAAGCCTGGACGTTTAATGGATTGCAGGCGTGGCTAGTTCAGTTTGAATTAGCATTCCTAAGAAGTGCCTGACCACTTCAGACCTCTAAATGGCCACTTTTCAATGCTATCCAAGACCCAGGATTCTATAAACCTGGCTTAGCTGAGTGTCAAGGGCATTGGAACTAGAAGACAAGGACATGTCTGGGCATCTAGTCAGAGTAGCAGCATGGATCATCCTCTGGCCTTTCTCCAACACTATTCATGGAAAACAGATACAGAAAACTGCAGTGGTGACCAGTACTACCCAAGGCTTCTTTGGGGTCAGAAAAAAATGGCTACTTAAATTTTTTCTTTCCCCCGTCTTTGGACCCCGAGAACCTCTTTAGGACCCAGTTTTCCAAGCTTTTCTTTCTTGGTAACATTTTAGAATCTCAGCCTCCTCCTCTAGCTTAGCACCTGTGCATCCCACACCATCCTCACTTCCTGTCCCTGGCAATCCTGTCCTCAGGGACCTCAGCAGCCTCTGTGGTATGACCACTTACCTTGAGAAGCAGGGGAGGGAATGGAGACAAGGACAAACTGAAAATTATCACTTTGGCCAGAAATGGTTCTCTGGAACCCACTCAGAATGAACAGGAGTAGCCACAGGTGCCACTGAAACAAGTCCCTCCTTTTCCACAGGGAATGAGAAAAAGAAAGCATTCGAGTATATGTAACTGCACAGATTCCAGAGCTGATGAGGTGAAGTCTGAGATCAATATGCAAAAGCACTCATGCTCACATTGAAAGCACAGAACAATACAACTATGTAGGGAAAACCAAAGGAAAAGGAAAGGGAGACACCATATTAAGAGTTGCTATTTTTGCATGGGGAACAATGAATCATTTTCTTATTTATCTTCTTACCAACATCTGTCTTACAATGACAGAATTCATGCTTTTGCAAAGGAATATCACACGTGAAACAAAGTCCATAAAAAGGACACACATCAGCAAGCATATTTGCAAAGCATTTTCCCTGCTTGCCTGGCATGGGTCCTGCTGCTTCGAAAAGGACAGAAAGACATCCTTGGTGGTGCCTGTCTGCCCTGACACACCCCTGTTCTGTGAAAATCTGTTCTCACACCACCTGTCCAATATCCCAGCCACACTGTCTACTGCAGGCAACATCTCAGCATGAGCTCCACCTCGCTGACTGACAATTGGCCAAAAAACAGCCTGCCTTCTTGTCCTCTCTGTTCTAATGGGCCAAGCTTGCCAAACCTGGAAGGGTAACTAGCACACAGAGGTGAGGCCTTTTTCTTGCTTTATGGAATATCCCGAGCTTGGAAATACAACCAGGGCTATGATAAAGCCGGTGCCAATTATGGGAACCTAAATTTCAGTTACCTCTTTAGATTTCCGATGCCAGTCCTTATTATCTCCTGGGCCTGCCTCTTTTATCTCCTCCTCATTGAGGCCCATGCGGTTGGTGTAGGTGATGGTACGCCAGTCTCTGGGCGAGTTGGAGATGCTGGCGATCTTGGACTCGGTGGCGCTGTTCTCCTCGGTCAGGGACCTGGAGGATGGCCTGGTGAAGAGGCTTTTTTTTAAGGCCTTGACGCGCAGGCTTTCGCTGTTGCTTCCGCTGGCATCGGAGCAGCACCAGTCCGCGTTGCTCTCCAACTTGGGTCCATGGGAGCCACTGTGTGCACGGAACACCCGGGGAGAGGCGCTGTCATCCGAGGGGGCCTCGCTAGTCAAGGAGTTCAGATCGATCTGCACGTTCACCTTCTCTGGCTGCTGCATCTTCTGATCCAGTTTATTTAGTTTGCCCAGGACCTGGGAGATTTCCTCGCGGACCCCCGACAATGATTCCAGCTTCCGTTCAATTTCACCGATCCTGAGCACCAGTTTGCACACACTGGTCTTCAACTCATCTTCCGAGTGGTGGATGTTTTCGGGCCGGTTGCCCTTGTCTCCCTTGCTGTTGGGGACCCCATTGGCAATTTTGGTGAGGTTGTGCTCTGGGGAACTGTCACAGTCCGACTTATGAAGCTGAGACAAGGACCCGGTGCTGTTATAGCAGGACGACTGTATCACCCCCGTGGAACCACTGATGCTCATGTCGTCGAGGAACCGGAAAATATCACTGATATCGTCACTGACGATTTCAGAGTCGTCGTCGGAGTGCTTCATGTGCCGGTCGCCGTACTTGCCCGGGCCAGAGGCGCACAAGTCTTTGCATTTCTTGGGTTCTAGGACGTGCTGCTCCGTCTGGGTGCCCACGCTACTGGTGTCTGAGCTGAGCTGTCCGCTGGTGCAGCTAATACTCTTGTCTTTAAACTTCTTGATGGCTTCGTGCTTCTCCAGGTCAACAGGGGATGAGATCTCTTTAGATTTGAGCCCATTCTGTTTCACCGCGTAGCCAATGGGGAGAATCGGCTGCTGATCCTTCGGCACCAAGTAAGTGGGGCGCCTGTCTGGGGCTGAAAAATTGGGGGTCTGGCTTCCGGGATTCGGGTAGCGTAGCTTTTCCTCGGAGGGATTTCTATTGAAAAAGGACCGTTCAAAGTCAGGAACTTCCTCTGTATTTAAGCTCCAGCTTTTGGCTGGCCACGGAGTCTGCTTACTGGGCCTCCCCGGACAGCGCCTGGTGTCCTGGGTTCCCATCACAGGAGTGGGTCCGAAATACGTAGACGCTTGAAGGTCATCTAGGCTTTCGTGCTTTACGCGCCTTTTGTCAGGAACGGGGGAATACACTGGGTTCAGGTACTGGCTGTGGTAGGGCATCTCAAAGCTGTGATTAAAGAAGGGTGGCTTGTGGGACTCCTTTCGACTCGGGTGTTCCCCATGCTCAGCCTCTGCTTTGTTGGTAGGATCAACCAAACTAGGGGACACGGTCATGAGATTGTGAAAATCCTCTTTGAAGATGTTCCTTTTCTGGACACAAGACTGAACCACGAAGGGCTCCTCATTGGAGATGAAGGTCTCCTTGATGCTCTGACTGAGGGGCAGGGAGTCTTGGTCTGAAATGGACTCATTCTCAAGGTTCATGGGGAAGTAGGTCCTTTGCATCTCACAGGGCTGAGGGCTGGCCACAGAGTATGGGGCCAGAGCCTGCAGCCTGTCCAGGGAAGCAGCCCGGTTTTTCACCTCTTTGCTGACACCCAAYAAGAAGTTGGGCTCCGAGGCAGGGACAAACTGCGGGCAGTCCTTGCAATCCATCTTGCGGCACTTGGATGACTGCCGGGTGGGGTAGCCCCGGCTGAAGGGCCTCTCGCTCAGCTCACAGTTCAGGGGCTCACACTCGGCAGCGTTGCAGATCTCGGTGTCAGACCTGCATGATTCAAAGGACGTCTCCTTCTTGCGACCCTTTTGGCGACCAGTAGGCAGCTTTTCCTTAGCGGCGCCCCCATTCATTTGGATCAGGTTGAATATGGTCACGATGTCTGCTGCCACCATGATTTTCTTGGATTGCTGGTTATTCACAGTGCATTTCATCTTGTCTTTGAATAATGTGGCTGGAAAATTGGGATCGAGACAAGCAGTGTAGAAGAGCACGCTTCTCAGTTTGGCAAGTTGCGACAGATCAAACCGGGCACACAGTGATTTGCACAGGTCCTGATAGGAAACGGTATTTTGCTTGCTGTCCAGTTCCTCCAAGATCTTCACCAAGAAGAGGGAAGTCTCCTGATTGGCCTCCATGATTTAGACTTTCAAAACCTCACTGATGATAGGGAAGCTTCAGTCAGTTCTACAGGGACGACATTGGAAAAGAGAGGGAGGGAAAGAAGGTTATAAACACCAGTGGAACCTTAAGTTCAGCTTGTTATGAACCACTTAAAGAAATACAAAGGAAAACATTTTAATGACTAAACAGTGTATCAAAGGCTTTAAAACTATTCATAGTAATTCCCTTCCCAGGAATCTACCTTAAAGAAATGATCAATGGCAACAATTATGCAAAAAGATGTTCACTTCCAGGGTTTTTACATGGTGAAAAAAATTWAAAAATCCTAAATATCCAAATAATAGGAAATATAGGAATACAACAGGTTATGATATACCATGAAATTTTACAAACACTAAAATTACACCCTATAATGGAACACTATTCATTAGTAGGAAAAGAACAAACTTCTAGTACATGCCATGACATGGATGATTCATGGAGTGAAAGCACCCAGAGTCAAAAGGCTACATACTATATTATACTATATTATACTATATTATACTATATTATACTATATGATTCCGTTATAATGAACTCTGGAAAATAAATCAGTGGTTGCCAGGGGCTGGATGTAAGGGGAGGGGTTGACCTTGAAGACGCACAGAGAAATTTTCCAGAATGATGGACCTGTTCTACATCTTGGTGGTGGTGGCAGTGGTTATGTGACTATATGCATTTGTCAAAACTCATGGAACTAAACACTAAAAAGTGTGCATCTCATTATATGTAAATGGTACCTTAACTTAAAAATGACATAAAACTTTGATTGGCAAAAGAAAACTGTGGTACAATATTGAGTGAAAAAATATGGAAATAAATATGTACATAGAAAGATCTTAGTGATATAAAGTTATATGTTCCTAAAAATGACAATGAAAGTGCATTTAAATGTTAATAGTCATTAAGTTTGAATTTTAAATATACTTTTTTTTCCTAAATTAGTAATCTCTTTTCCAATATTTTATCATGCAAATTTTCAAACATGCAGCAAAGTTGAAAGAGTTTTATAGCGAACACTAATATACCCACCATCTGGATTCTACAATTAACATTTTAATATATTTGCTTGATCACATATCTACCCATCTATCCATCATCAAGCCACCTTATTTTTTATGTACTTTAAAGCAAATTGCAGACATCTGTACATTTCCCCCTAAATACTTTGTCATGCACATCATTWCCTCAAGTTCAATAACTATTTAGTTTTCCTTTGCATATAAAATTTACATATAATGAAGATCACAAATTATCAAGTATGCATCAGTTGAAGTTTTGACAGATATGCCTGTGCACTAACCAACACCTCCAGAAAGAAGATGTAAAATGTTCTTATTACTCCAAAAAAGTTCCCTCATACCCTTTCCTGTTCAGTCACTGTTCATTATTTATAAGTGATATGTTATTTGTTCCTTGTTATTTCCCATCCTTTCTAAAATTCTTACAATATACACATATTATTTTGCAGTTGCCAAACAATAACGAATCTTACTTTGGAATGGAATGGAAAAGCCATATTAACTGATGTAGGATGAGAAAATTAAATACATCAAATCAAACGTTTAACAAAATTTCATAGGAGAAGGTGAAATTCCTCATTTATAAACATGGACACAGCTTTTGCAATTCCTGAGGACACAATGAATTACATAATGCATTACTTCCCTGATCCACACTACTTAGACAAGGCGATTTGATAATCGACTTATTGATTTTAAAGCTGACCCAGTCTGTGGGGCCCAGCCCATTTTCTAGGAGAACAGTGCATTTTCTTCAGATTAAATTGTAGCAGCTTGAGGCAATGGGCTCTCTCTCCACCCCAAGGGCAGCTCCTCTAAACAGGCTTTTATAAACATTAGCTTGGTCTCACTCATGAATGTTGAGGGATATGCATAGATCTGTGGCTTACATCTTCCAGTATAGAAAAAGGAATGAAACCCAGACAAGTTCTGTTCCTGCCCAGAATAAGTCACTGGGAATCCCACTTCTCCCACTCAGTGCCCCTGCCCTGCCCAGCCTTCAGCTGCATCTTATTAAAGCATTCTGTGTCAGGATGTTCTGGCTTGCTAAAGGTGGGGACAACCTGTAATGCTTGAATTTCAAGTAAATAAATGGATTTAAATATCAGAGCAGAGGACAAATGAATGCAATTTAGAGAACAGCAACACATGCATATCATATTTTATGGTTGTGGTCATACAAAGCACTTTCCTAGCTACATTTTTCTTTAATCCCTGTAACTACCCTCAGAAGCCTCTTCATTTTTGCTATTACTTTTTGACAGAGGAGGAAACAGGCTTCAGGAACTTAAGGGTCTGGTAGCATCTGGAAGCAACAAGATCTAAAGCCAGGGCTGTCAGCTAGCTCCATGCCCTGCCCCATCATGTGCCTCCCAAGAAAGCCCAGGACTTTGCCATCTCAAATTTCATGCCTACTTTGCATGTCTATAAAGAATTATTGATCCCAGATTTAAAAAAAAAAAAAACTACTTGGGGGCTGGGGTATGGCTCAGTGGTAGCGCGCTTGCCTCACACACGTGAGGGCCTGGGTTGGATCCTCAATACCACATAAAAATAAATAAATAAAAATAAAGACATTGGTCCATCTACAACTAAAAAAAGATTTTAAAAAAAATTTAAAAAGAACTATTTTAGGAAACCAAGGCTCAATGTCTCCTGAAGTGAATAATGGAAATACAAACACTGTATGAGGCCTAAGTCACTTTTGTCAAAGTTGAAGGTAAAGAGGGGACAGGAAAGATGGTGGATGAGATGGATATCATTACCCTAGGTACATGTATGACTGCACATATGGTGCGATGCTGCATAGTGTACAACCAAAGAAATGAAAAGTTCTGCTGAAATTGTGCACAATGAATCAAAATGCATTCTGCTGTCATATATACCTAATAAAAATAAATTAATTAATTAATTTTAAAAAGTGAAGGTAGGGAATCTATGGATGAAAACAGGTACATGGACACAGGTACTGTGTAGGTGCACATGATGTGGTCCGCCATCAGAGAAACTCCACACAGACCTGCTACACTATACCAATGTATGCAAGGAGGAATAGGAGCAAAGAAAGAATGCATTGAAAAACAAGCTTCCAGGTTCTCTAGCAGAATAATAGACTCAGCCTGCAGCAGGCAGCCATCGGTGGGCTACCTCATTTGACCACACAAACACCTCTCTGCAGATGAGGAAATTGAGGAACTGGGCGATCCAGAGGCCAACACTGGATCAGGGACCTGAGGTCTTCTGGTACTGTTTGAAGAGCACAAGGCTCAACCTTATACTAAGGGTAGGTAGAGTGTCCACCACTGAGGGACAGTAGTGAATGGGGGAGGCCCCTTTGGACTGACCTACTATGTGAGATCAGCTTGGGAAAATGACTCCGTTGTATACAAAGAGCAAGACACACTTGCCTAAAACACAAATTTGTCCTCTCCATTATTACATTTTTGACTTCTTGAATCACATGCTTCCAGGGACCCTCATTAGACCCGTGAGTTACTGCCTGTGTCTGGATTATGCACCACCTCAGAGGGAAAATAACAAGTTGGCTGTGGGACTCATTATCCAGCTTTTTATTAAATAAGAAGAAAGCTCATGAACTGATTCCATGGGGAAAATTTGAAAGTGGCTCAACACACATGACTCCAAGCMCAGCCTGGCTTCCCCCATGGTCTTTAGCACCCGCCCCGTGCACTGGCCTCAGGTCTCCTTGAAGGTTCTGGAAGCATTCAGCCCCACAGAACCTTTTCTGTGCATCCAGTATGGGTATGGCACTGTGCTAGGCACAGCTTAAAAAAGGTAAGGGAGCTGCCCTCATAGAGCTCATGAGCTCAGAGAAGAAAATGACTTTTATGATCAGGGCTGGAAGGAGCCCAGCCTGAGTCCTTTGTTTTATGGGTAAGAAAAGTGRGGCCAAGAAAAGAGACATGGCGTTTTAAAGGCACATGTGGGATTAGTGGCAGAATGGGTCTTAGCAGCCAGGTCTTCTGTCACCTAGCCTGTTTTCTCAAATGGTCATGCAAAATGCCAGAGTTCATTGATGAGGACCAAGGAGCTTAAACAAGGGACCAGGACCCCAGGTGGGGGTGATGGAGTCCAGCCCGGAGGAAAGGAAAGGTGCCATCTACAGCTTGGCAAAGGAGGTTCCATCTACAATGCCCTCAAAGCTGAARAGGAGGTGAATGTTTGAGGGTACAGGGTAAGGGGACAAAGGGGATGTTCCAGGCAGGAGGCTGAAGGTGCAGGGGAGCAGGGTGGAGTCTGTGTGTTTGGTCAGAATGGAGAGAGGGAGGTGGAGCTGGACACATGAATGGTATTTAGATAGGGCTTGCTACRATCTGACTGTGTCCCCTCCAAAATTCAGGGGTTACCAATGTGACAGTATTAGGAGATGAGCTATGAAGAGGTAACTAGACCATAATGGCTCCTCGCTCATGGGAGGGACTGAGGCCCTTATCAAAGGATTCATGCAGCATGAGGCTTGCTAGCTCTTCCACTATCTGCCATGTGAGGGTGCAGTGAGAAAGCCCTCTCCAGATAGCAGAAGCGGGTGCCTTGACAGTGGGCTTCTAGCTTCCAGAACTATGAGGAATAAACATTTTTGTTGTTTATAAATGATCCAGTCTCAGGTATTCTGTTATAGCAGCACAAATAGAGTAATGAATTCTGAGTGAGGAGTTTGGACTCAATTCTATAGGCAACTGGAGTCAGGGCAGGGGTCTGGGTGAAGCAACCCAGCCTACAGGATATACCGACTGGGATTCACATTATCTTCTCCTTTTCTAAACCTCTGCACATGCACAGCCAAGGTGAGAAATCCAGGATGGTCTAAATCCTGAGCCATGGATATTTCCACAAACAATAGTCTGTAGCTTTGGGAAGGGCAGGAGTTGAATGTTTTCCCATTATCCTGGGGCACCTTTCTCATTTCTCACGCCACATTCCCACGATGATAA